GCAGTTATAACTCAACAGTGAAAAGAAACCCGAAAAAAAATCCCACAGAGAATTCCAGAATTTCCAGATACAGAAAGGTAATATATCCACGTTAGAAAAACACTCCCAACTCATGGAATATATCAATAGACTAAAAGAGAAAGCATTTAATAGCATCACGACTACTTTTCAAATTCAAAGAACAAACTTTGTTAATCTTTATATTACAATGACTTTAAAACCGCGTGGAAATTTGTTATCATATTCCTCGAGAGCAACATCCTGAAAAAACTACCCACGATGCTCTCACTCTCTTGCGAGAAGACTCTCCCGCGAATATATAATGATATTGCGAGTATCTTTGGTTTACACCTTTAGTTCAGCTGCCTATGAAATCCGAGGGGTATTTGAAGTTACTTTTATATATTTATTTGTAGTACAAATTATTCAAATGCTGCTTGCTTTGGAGGGATATTTCAGCCTATTTCAAGGAAATTCCTGATCTACATTTGGGAGAGCCCTGATGCATATGTATGAGCATGTACGTGAGAAAGAAAAAAGTGGGAGGGGGATAGGGAAGTTTAAAAGTACATTTTCATGTCGTTCTTTTCATGTGACAAGCAGTGATGAAATGCCTATCCCACACATAGAGACTAAAACTGTTCTTTCATTACAGCCATGAAGTTCTTGCTGATTGCTTGTTTGGGAAGCCTCGTCTTCGCACAACAGGGACCGGCTGACCTGCAGGGTCCAGGGCCCTTCGTCAGGGACCTGAAAGCTGACGTGCTGAGAGGTATGCCAATGTGTATATAAATGCATATAAATATAAATATAAATATAGAAATATATATATATATATATATATATATATACGCATATACCTATACATACACGCACATGTGTAGATAGATAGGTAGATTGATTTCTATATTCATATATATTATCTTATACATACACACACATATATATAGATTTGTATATTCATATATATGTATACATACATAAATGCACACACACACACACTCACATATATATTTATATATATATATATATATGTTTGTGTGTGAATGATTACATATATATATATATATGAATATATATAACATATATATATACATATATATGAATATATATATGTATGCATGCATACACAAACACACATATATATACATATATAAAAATGTATATATGTATGTGTGCGTGTATAAAAATGCATACATACACACAGATATAAACATATACATATATATATGTTTACATATATATGTAAGTGTGCATGTATGCATATACACACACCGTACTGCCGCGGTAGCGCTCTTGTCTAGCAATCTTGCTGACCTGTATTCGATTCACACGCACTGCCAGTGGATGGCAACCCCGGCCATTCCTCGCACACAGTCATAATTCAATTAAAGTAACAATAACATGTCACAGCAAACCCTTAACTATTATTATTACACACACGTTTATATATATATAATATAGATAATAGATATATATGTCAACACATATATGTATAGATATATATGTATATACGTATATATATAAGATATATATAATATATATATATATAGATATATATATGTATGCACAAATAATATATATATATATAATATATATATATATTATATATATATATATATGTTTGCATGTATGTATTTATGTATATAATAAAAAGTATATGTATGGATAGATACAA